ATTCAGTTTGTCTGGTTATGCTGGTTTGTGATGACAACTACTACCGTACCATATACAAGTAATAAATTTCCATTTTTTTGGTTCAATAATAAATGTGTACCATATTCTTCTTCCTGGAAAAATAAGACATTCCCTGAAAATAAGACCTAGTGCATCTTTGGGAGCAAAAATTAATACAAGACACTGTCTTATTTTCGGGGAAACGGTACAAGGGGTGTTATGTAGTTCCTGGGGAAATGGAACTAAAAGATAATGGAATTTTTCCACAGACTTTTAGAAGGCCCCTCGTATAAAGGATTATGGTTGCTAGTGACACCAATTTCTCAGAGAAACCTGGATGTCACGTCTCAGTTACTTACTACTTCCTTGGTGCTGTATTTAGTTGTGCCATCCTTTGAATTGGTGGGCGGCAGATCCCTGCATGGCTTAGGTGAAGGTGATGTGATGTGGTGCTTTTTCTTTCACAAGAGGCCCGAGTGCTTCCTGCAATGAAGAGAAGGGAAAGGTCTCTTCGAAGAAAAAAATAGAATCCTGTTTTCTGGAATTAGATTCCCCAAGTCTGATAATTTAGCTATATCTTTTTTGTCATAACTGGAGCAGACCACAGACTGAGAAAACCAAGAATAAAAGACATGCCAGAGATAGAAATGAATTTTTCTTATATGAAATCTCTTTAAGTTTGTGAAGCATGCATTCGTGGTTCCATTGCTGTGTAAGAAATTGCCCCCAAACTTTGCAACTTCGAAACAATAAATAGTTATTATTTCCTATGTCTTCTGTGGGTCAAGCGTTTGGCAGATGCTTAGCCGGGTGATTCTGGATCAAGATAGCTCATCCATGAGTTTGTATCCATCTGAAGGCTTGACTGAATGTTCTAATGACACGGGAACTGGCTTCCATAGAGGTGGTGATCACAGACAAGGGGGAAGCCCATGTCTTTTATGATTCAGTCTTACAAGTTACAGCTAGTTATGCAATATCCTCGTTAAAAACTTCCTACTCATAGCAACCATATCAGGCAGAGTAGAACTGCTCCTTTAGTTTTCTGAAGCTAAAAATCTTACCTGGAGCAGAAAACCTCATCTTTCCCAAGAAGCTGGTGGGGTTCACATTGCTGACCTTGACATTAGCAGCCAATGCATAACAGCTGTGCCACCAGGGCTTTGCAATCTCCTCAAGGCTATTTGGTGGACAGGAGACAACAGAAGAGTGACAGAATGTGAGGATTATTACATGCCACCTTGGAGACTGGCTCCCCTGCCCATTAGTGGGGAAAGAGCCCCGAGTGAGAAGCCAGGTTACCCTGGTTCCAGTCTGTGAATAGGTTGTTTACCCTCTAAGATTTTGTTTCCTGTGCCGTCCCACAGAAATACCGTGTGAATCGTGGAACAACATATCAACCTGTGTGATCACGGGGTGTCGAACGGATCACTGAAGACAAATGGGTGCATAAGCAAATGTGGTGAAGAAAGCTGAT